CGTACGTAAATCGGATATACGCGTGTAACACGACGGAAGACTCTTTTTAACGGTATATGAACTGTCTACACATGACTTGTGTACTGTCTAGTCTAACGGTATTTGTTACGGAACATTCAGTACACGTACATGATTTAAAAGGTCCTTCTCAGGACCAATAAGTAACACAAACCAGTAACGACCAATCACAGGTCGTTATTAAATAAACACGAAAAACAATAACATAAACAAAAACCACAACATCGGAGGTGGCATCAATGGATAGGGGAGGAAAATACCTATCCGGAGATATTACCAAATTCATTGAGAAAATAAAACACTGTCACCAACAGAAGACGGAAGATATGGGAGAGTCTGTAAAAGAGGAAAGGAGGAAAAGAAGGACAAAATCGAGGGTAGGATCATCGGATAGGGGATGAAAATACCTATCCATAGACATCACTCACGACGTAATCAGAATAAGGGAAGAGAAGTTATCAACAGAAACTTAATGCAATTAGGCATCAGTTAATTTTTACTAGTTGGTACGGCAGTGTGGTTATATACCAGCATTCCGATACCGATTAAAAACAACTTCTTTCACTTCAACATCTACTCTCAAGACCTTAATTACACTCTATGAAAAGACTGAATTGAATATTGAAAAGGAAGAACACCGAAGAAGACTTACCACCGCGACGATCTTAGAACTATTCAAAAGGACCAATCAAGAGACCGGAGTCAAAATTGCAGCCCGGCATCGACGAGCTACCGTTACGAAATCAAACTATAGCCGTGACGGACGATTGACCACACTCGCCGATTCCACGTCAATTGTTGAGACCCGGCACGGAATGCCGTTGTGAATGTTCGTGTATATGAATTGCATATACGGCGTCCTACGTGGCGCCGTGTCCTGGATTACACCGCTCAGGATTAGTCGGTTACTAAATCTTAATATTTAGCGAACGTCCTCGACGGGTAATCAAGGCCTGCGATCCACGGATACGTACGTAGTCTTTCGGTGCGGCGGCGGACCGATTCCACGACCGACGACACCAAGTCCGAGACCAGATTCCGGAGGATTGTGCTTCCGACCAAACAGACAAGTAGGAGAAAGCCCAGCCATCGAAGACCGTATGCTGTACGAATAATCGGGAACTTCACCTACCAGCCGAGAAACCTCCGCAGTCAGACCAATATTGGATCCATAATCCGCCGTAGCTAAAATAGCACTTTTCAGCGCTGATAAATCACTTAATTAAGTTGTCCTTCCCGGATTTGATTCGCAACCGGAATACCGCTTAATCAAGCTTGTACCGGTGACGGTCAATCCTTATCGACACATTACTTGTACGAACGTATATCTATGATAGCCCCATAATGTAACGTTAGGGTCCGACCAACTACCCAAGCACCACCGACTGTTCCAACTCACTTTTACAAGTCTTTTACAAGCCAACGCATTACTCGTCCTTTCATATTATATGTGTATATATATATATCTAAGTTTTATATCAAAATATAAGAACGTGAGTACCTACAAATCTGAGCGTTTTAATTATTTTACGATTAGGAACGTCAATCCTGACACTCCGTATCATATTGTTTCGTTTGTCGCGATTTTCGCAGCCGTGAATGTGTTGTTGTTTCATCGCGTAGATTTATCGTTTATTCGTTTTTTTTTTCCTAACTTCTTGATCATTATAGAAATCTACGCACTCCTGGGTACAAATTTTATTAAATCGCATCGAAATAATCAACAATTTTATTCCGATTTTTATAGATGATCTTGTGTTAATCGTGTACCGTTTGTACAGTAGATCTAAATCGATTTATACAACAGAGAAGAATTAATTCCTTTTTAAGTAACGAATAACCCTGAATTTTTGAGGCGTCATATAATTCGTATTGGCGAACACTGATAAAAATAATTATTTAATTTAAATTTTAAATAGATCTTTGCGGTTACACATTATGTGTAGGTACCGTTCGTTTATAATTTAGTCGCTTTGACGATCGAAATTTAATTAATTCATTGTTTTTAAATTTCATTACATTTTAATTTTAATATTTTTATTTTTAATTAAATTTTGAATGCCAGTGTACAAAAACGCCAAGGATCACAAAATAATATTTGATAAAATTGTATTATGATCGCGATTGCGTGATTACGCCACTGAATATAATAAGTGTAGCGCAGTGGTGTTTTAACCGTGGTATTAATTTTAGGAATAATTAATCATTAAAATAGCATTGTTAAAACGAAAGGGAGTTTCATTATGTAAACAATAAGTATTTCCTTCCCCGAATACGCGTGAACTACTCTTCTAATATATGTATATAATCGATCGTGTGCCTATATCGAGCGTTAAGTTTTAGTTTCTCCGTTTTATTCAAATCTGCATAAATTAAATCGATGTGCTGCGAATCAGGGAAATTCGAGGACAAATGTTACACCAAGCATGGATTTTAAAACGTATTACAGATACTTGGACGCGATAATGCGATGTAAGATTTTCACACTTGATCCGACAGTGATTCGATGATTTATCACCACCGTTCTTAAACGGTGGTTTCAGTGTTTTTACAATAATATTTCAAATTGTATTTTTCCGTTTACACGTAACACACAGCGTTTATTATTATACCTAAGTATAACATACGTCCAAGTCGTGCGGAGTGCTTGTCTGGCGGAACGCATCGAATGTTTAAACGGCCGTAGTAAATAGAATAAGGACCGACAAATGTGTTTGTTTTTTTGTTTTTTGGAGCACATAAAACACGTTATTGTAATATATTGCGGCAAGGAAATCCAAAAAGACGAAAAACGAAAACGAAACGCGAGAAGAATACCATTGGTATTCATTCACCATTCGACCGCGAAGCGAAAAGTGATTTTCGCTTTTATGCATTAATTGCGTTAGTTGTCGGACGGCTAAAATATGTCTGGAAACGATCGCGTTCGGCTGCGATTTCTGCTGTACCTGCGCTAAAAGCAGTGTCCGTGTTGCGCTGTTTCCACGAGTTTCGCATTGAACGATTTTATGTCGTTCGGAAAATACCAGGTCATTCGTACCATGTCCAGAGTCACATTTTGCGAGTCGTTTCACTCTCAATTATACAGTTACAACGAGCGTCTTCGTCGTATGCATCGGTTTTGTAATGATCTTGAAATGATCTTTGACTTCAGTCATGATTCCGAATCTGAATTTTGGTGTCCGTGCTTATATATATGTCCGGGAATTATAGTTAATTATGTTTTTGTATAAATGATATTGTTTCGTTAATTACTTGTCCTATTGTATTCAAAACTCTCGTTTTATGATGTTCGTTGTAATAAATAGTATTAAGTTAATTAGTTTATAAAAAAATCTTCAAAACAAATAAATAAATAAAACCGCTACGAATTCTCCGTCGCGTTCGGCTTTTGTGCACGGCGATAATTGTCGTTAGCTAGCAATGTGCCGAGAGTACGTACCATTCGGTTGAAAAACAACAGTTCAATAATATAAACGGATTCTATTACGTAATATTATTCTTTGAATCGATGTATACGGTTATCATGTTGCAAGAAATGAATGGCGTATTATTGTTATTATTATTATTATTATTATTATTATTATATCTTTCGAGAACATGTTTAACCAACAGTTGTCCAAAAATAACGTATTTTATTTCCCGAACTAAAAAATAACGACGGTTTTCGCGTGCGGTTTAAAAAAAGAAACGTATGATTCACAAGAATAAAACGCAATGTTATTGAATCAAGAAAACCGACGAGAACCTTGGTGAAAATAATTAAAATATTTAACGAGCGAAAATCTCGTACAGGTACAACACCCTTCGTTTGTATCCGACACGACGGGGCGGAAATCAAAGGAATTCGATGAAAATCGTTCGCAGGGAATTGCCGCCAACGGTATGTTATTATTAGAGTTAGAATGTTAATGACTTTTGCATTTGTTTTCCTTTGATTCTATACAATGCTATACTAGCTAAAAATTATTTTAATGTTCCCTTCATGCAGAATATTCTAATTTTATTTTACATTTTTAGGCATTTTTTTGTTTTTTATCATCATTTTTCAACATTTTTAAGCAGGGTTTGCATTTGAAAAAAACATTTTGTTTTACGTTATTTACAATCAAAACGTTATACAAATTTTGAGTTTATCGTTATTCAAAATGTAAACGTTATTCAACTTTTGTATTTATTGTTATTCTGAATTAAAACATTATACAATTTTTGCGTTTAACGTTATTTAAAATTCAAAAGCATTTAGATATCTGTTTTAAAAGTATACAGGCCGCAATTTAAAAGTGACAATGACCTTTTTTTGAGGACATAATTTCCCTATTCTGAGTTATAAGTAGGTATTGTATAATTTTATTTATTTTATTTTATTTATTTAATTAAATGGGTTAAATAACCCTATTACATATTATTTACAAAACATACAATTACAATACATAGATAGTTTGTAAAGAAAAGGAAAGAAAATAAAAGATAAAACATTATGATAATAATTAATCTTAAGATTAACAAATAATAATGTTAAATTTAATAAATTGCATAGGCTCTAAGGACTTTATAATAAAATAATAAATATAAAAAAAAAAACCATGATTATTATTTTAAATTTCAACTATGAATTAACTTATATAAAGAAAACGTATGCACGTTAATACTATAAGTATATTAGTATAAAATATAAATATTAAATATTTGACAATAATTAGACAAATACTGACGAGTGACAACTGAACAAATCTGAGCAAACTGAACACCAAACACAATAGTTGACAAATATAACAATAACTTGAACACAATAACTTGAATAGTATAAATTTCGACCGTAGTACAGATAGTACAGTACAATATTATCAGGGTATCACTATTGTTAGCTATTGGTAGAGCTAGGATTTTAATGACCTAAAAAATACACAAAAATGCACTAAAAAAAATGCAAAAATGACCTAAAAACTCTAAAAAATGAACTTAAAAATGACCAAAAAATGTACTTAGATGAGTGAAAAAATTTATTTTTAAAATATTAATTAATAATTATGATTTATGAATAAAATAGGTATAAATTTGACTTGTGAATTCAACCGCTTCCTGGTATAATTATTCTGAAAAATCAATAAAATCATATATTAAAATAAATTAATGAAAAATATGTCATATTTTTTTACCTGTACACATATTATTGCATTGCACAATTAGATGATTCTTAAGATTTTCAAACAGGAAGCTGCGACGGCGGTCAGATAAAATGTTTTTATATGAAGAAAAACTTCGTTCAACGTCCACAGAAGTAACAGGGGCATATTTGAAATGAACCATATCATTTAAAGTTAGGTCTTCCGGAATACCATCTCTACTTGTATTTTCACCGTCCAGAATAGCAGATATATTTTTTAAAACTTTGAACCCATTATTTTTCATCAAAACATTATTCAGTTTGTTTGATATTGTTTCTCCGATTACATTAGGAGCAAGGGACAATGAAGTTTCAATTTTTTTAATTGTATTAATAGTTTCTGATAATAAGACTCCAGAAGCCTCCAGCTTTTTTATTTCTGAAGGAATGAAACTAAAATTAGATTTTATATAAATCAAATTAGCCTCTAAACTTGATTTAGACATAAGTTTTTTTGCTTCTTTTATATTAGTCGAATCATCATGATTTAATTCAAGTACAACTTTTTTTACATAAGAAAAATTCTCACAATAGTAATTTACAGCATCTAGCCAGGTTCCCCATCGCGTGATTACGGGTTCGGGTGGCAATGGAATACCTGGAGCAAGAGTTTTAAACATTTGTGTACGATATGGTGATTTTAAAAATATTTTTTTTACGCAACTTATAAGTTTATTGACATCTTGAAAATTTGATCTTATTTCTTCCGCAACTCTATGAATTGCATGCGCCACACAGGTTACCAACCAATAGCCTATTGGTAATTAAATTATTCTATTAATACCTTCTTATTAAATTTTAAAACAATATCTAATACGGGATCTCCCGGATAGGCCGGATACGAAATAAAATTAATTCTTGGATTGAATAAATAATTTAATACTACTAAGTATTATTAAATAATTGCAAATTAATTATTTCATTTAATGGAATACAATATTTACCGTTTTGCGTTATGTTTTGTTTAATGATATATCATATATTTTGTTAGACGTTACGTTTTGTTTTGTGTTATTTATTTATTTATGTTTATCGTTTTCCGTTATAATTACTTTTACAAATTTCAATCGTTTTTTATCAAATATAATGTTATTATAACGTTTGCAAGCCCTGTTTTTAAGTCATTTTCTTATCTTTTGGGTCATTTTTTTTCAATCATTTCAAGAATTTTTTAGTTAAATAAAAATAATTGATAAATAATAGTAATAATGAGTTGGTAAGAAATGAAGGTGTGAAATTAACCTGTCTCGTACGCCGAGTCAGAGGTTCATTTTTCGGGTAATTAGTAATGTATGATGGTATAGTGAACGGGGAGCAATGTTACGGGTAGGACGCGCATGAACTCAAAGCTTTGAGAAATGTACACTGGACACGTTCGTTCTGTTGACAATATACCATTTTGTAAGGATTCTGTACCAACAAACCATACTAACGCCTGACTGCGCACAGAACAAAGCCTTTAGTGCTTGAAAATTTAAATTCAGACGTGATTCCCATTATAAAACTTAACACCTTAATTGTTTTGCACGTAATATGGTCGATATGTGTTTTAGGGTGAAAGAAAAAGGATAGAAACGAGTGTTTTGTGTAACAATAACATTTTGATAAAATAATAATAATAATAGCACTGTTAGTAATACAAAAGGTTACTACTTGATTATTATTAATATTATTCATTACATTTCTCGGTTGATGATATTTTGCGATCCGTTCATTCTCCAAGAGTGCCAAGACTTTTTGTATATTTTTCTGTAACAAAGTATCGACTGGGCTACCACGAACCAGTCGTCCACCTTTATTGGTGATTCTTTGACTTATCCTTATATACCGTCGAGGTGCATACTTCAAATTTGGACGGGAATCACATGAGGATGACGTGCTGGGAGTGTTGAAAAAAATCGCGATGAGAAGTCGACTTTATCGTCAAAAAAATAGCGTCGACAAGATCGAAGAATGATCGTCTGGACCTGCAGGGTAAAAACCACATTTGGGTGCAGACAGTGGATGGACGATGAAATCATTATCCTTCACGCTGCTGATCGTGGATCGGGATCAGAGAGCGTAAGCTTCGTGGACCCGATAATAAACGAACAAATAGCTTCGTAACATCGATTGTAATCCAACAATAAAAAAAAAAACTATTTGTAATTTATACATATAATTATTGTTATTATTATACATATAATTATTAATGTTATTATTCATATAATAATAATTATTATTATTATAAAATATAGTACATAATTAACCATATGACTTGAAGAATTCGGGCGTTGTGTATAATAAACAGTGTTTACGATGAATTTTTCTCCATTTTGATCGTAACATATGTTCATGTTATATCGAGTTCAAAATCTGTTGACCAAATTATCCAAACGACATTTTTTCAGCAATCTTTTAGCCATAGTATTTGTTAAATTTTTTTTTATATTGCGATATTTATATAATACATTTTTTTTTATATCAAGATAATTCTTGTGTTACGATGCATACACAGAACAAAACAGTTTACGAAATAATTATTTTCGTTTTACCAAAATCCACTTATAATTTTCAAAATTCAACTAGAAATGAGTACGAAGTGAAGATGGATGAACGAAAAGAGAAATGCTTCAATACAAAAAATACTTAACTCTGATAGTTACTAATTAATCAAATGAACGATTTTTATTCGTTTAACGACCAATATGTACAAATGTGTTCGCTGTATACGAAGGTATAAATAAGCATAAACGAAAGTCATTATTTTTTTGCAGACCAGGCCAATAGAATCGGGGAAACGGAGAGTATAGTGAGTATGATCACTTTATGATTTCATACCTATCTGTTTTAATTGTATATCTTGTGAAAATATTGTTTATCAGTTTAAATGTACCAAGAATCGAAAACCTTGAAAATAGGTCAACAGGACGACATTTCTATACACTTGAAAATAAATACCTCTTCCGTAATCATAAGGATTGTAATATTGAAAAATAAGTGCTTGTTTGATGTACTCAAACAAAAATAACCACTCATTATTTGCCAATAGTTGTATGACGTTTAACGATTTTCGACGAGGCATATGAACCGTGTGCACTAAAACTAAATAAAAGTTATAGGTGCACTTAGATAGTAGCTGAGATTATCTAGAATCAAGAGCATTACGAAAATGTATGTCCCGTCTGATATTTGCAAAGAACCAATTACAATACTTTTTTCTATTTTAATTGATTTTTATCAATTTTTCGTTGGGTATTATTTTGAAATTTCTATTAAATTTCAACTGCAGGCTCGTGAGAAGCTGATCGGAAGTTTGAATGAATTCAAAAAACTCAACAGCTGATAGCATTCCAAAGTCATAGTTAATTAAACTGCATTCATCATTGTACACTGGATTTGAATTCCGATCGACCAATAAACGACGAAACGTCATAAATACGTACCGTGCTCGTAGAGTTACCAGCGTATTTCGGGTGGTTAGAAGTTAGTAGATAAGTTAAGCGTCCGCAATAATAATGATAATAATAATAATAATAATAAAAATAAAAATAAATCGCTGCATTATGCATTATGCGGTATATATTTATACGTTTTCTCCGTCTCAACACGTTAAAAACGATGGCGTTTTATTATTATCAGACTTGTTACAGCGGTGCAAAAAAAAAAAAATGTTCAGACGATGTGGCGTTTTTAAAAATAATTTTTCAAGACATTCGATAGTAACACGTCTATTTTTGGAAAAATATTTTCTGCTTCATTGGCCACACCACGACGACGCACGACCAAGACCGTAATACAATGTTCCATTGGTCTTCGTTTTGACGCGCTCTGACCACCTGGACGGAACTGCGTCAGATGAGCAATAATTGCATTAATGTACCATTATATTATTATATTATTCATCATTCGTATGCGATTGATAAATATAGCAAAAGCGCAATATGTCTACCCATTCGATTTCTCAAACATTCGACAGCCCGAGAGAAACACTTTGCCACAGTTCCGATCAAGTTCCAACGTATCGGATGTATTGTGATAACACTACTATTATATTAATATTATATACTAATTAACTGCAAATAAAATCGACTAAATTATTTAAATAATCGTTTACAATCAATACAGTTGATATGCATGTGTTAAAAAGGATACGTTAAAGGAAACGTGGATAACGAGGATCCGATTCTCCTAGTTAACTTTATTTTTAATGAAATTGTATAAATATTCATAAAACAGTGATAGAGACTTCTGGGTCATGTAAAAATACTAGGATCGGGTGAGGTATAGAGATGGGTGAATGGTATTCCTATAATGGTCTTTTGTATTTGAAATAAATGCACAATCGCTCTTTCAGAAAAAAAAAAAAAGAAATCTGAGTGAAAGAGGTCGGGCAAATAAGTTTATATTCCTAAAAACGATTCATATAATAGTAGAATCAGATATCTTATAATTGGCTAATTTTTGTTTTGGTGATTTTTATCGGATTTTTTACAATTAGGTAGGTATATCTAGAAATTTGAAATTAAAATTCCTGTGCGAACATTTAACGTTGCATGAATAAACTATTTGAATTTGTTTGTCGTATATTTTCTCTACACCTAAAATAATGCGTTTATCCATCAACGTTATGTATAATACGCCGTATACATTCATTTTCCATAAATATTTTAACAAATTAATTTATTGTGACTCACAAATTCCCAGTATAGAATTTCATTGTTAAACACTTCACTCAATTATTAAGCATTAAGTTGTGTGGTAAAATAATATATTTATTTAGTTTTTCATGAATATACAACGGCATATGAACTAAAAATGGAAATAATTTGAAAAGCGAAAGTAAATATTTTTATAATTACGCTCTATGCGGTTCATCCAAATTCAAAGTCGCAGTATGAAATATTTTATGAAATGTGTTCAATACCCGCAATTTATATTTGACATTTAAATTATAAATACAAGTGAATCTCTTAATTCACCAGTAATACCAATTCAAATAATAATACGAATCATCGATAGAGTTGATTAATTTTGTTTGTAAAGTAATTTTATTTTTAACCAAATCACTGTGGTATAGTACGTTTAGGTACACGTGGAGAAAAAGAAGCAAAGGCATGTTAATACCATTAGCTCTATTGACCAGATATTAAAATCCTTTAAAATTACGGTGAATAGTCAAGATTTCAATTCAAACAGACATACACATATATAAATATATGTATATTTATGTATATGCATATAATGCAGTAAAATGTGAAAATATAATGTTTAAAGTGGCATTAATACTGGTAGGTATTTGATGATATTACTATATTCGAGGAAAGAAATATCATTGTCGGTATTAATGTATATTCTAAACTATTGTTCAGTTATTTTATGAGTTGAATACAAATCTCTCATAAGATTACTTATCACTGCTATCAGTAAATAGTTCCATAGTTTCAATCGGAATTAAAATTCACTAAAAAATTTAACAACCATTCGGTACACGTTTATCATTAATATTAAGTGGTCCCTATTCAAGATAGATACGTCAAGTGCGATTCTGGGTCACATAAGTAGTTAATGTATGTCAAATAACTCATTCTTTTTTAACGATTGCGTGTTTGGAAAGTACTGACAATTGTCGATTGTAACACTAATGATTCGGGTGTACCTAATTTGGTACATTTTGTCTAGATCGTAAAATTGAATACTGTTTGGACGACCCAAACTGTCCATTTCATCGCAAACCCATGTCCTAGGAGCACAGCTATAACTAAAGGTTGGCTAAACGGGCGGTTGACAAGGGCGCAGCGATGTGAGAGGACGCATTTGAGTTGAATTAAAATTGTTTTATTTTGTATAAAATTAGTGCCAAAACATGATTGGCCGAGAGCGCCACGAAGAATAGATACGAAATTGCCCATCAGACGATAGTCAAGTATAATGCCTTCACGGTATATTTCACTTTTAAACTATTTTTTGTGTACTTTACATTCTGTTTTCCAACCAAACAGTTTAAAATGTTAGTACTATAAAATAACCTGGAAACAAAAAGGTATAAGCCAGTGTTATTTGATAGTACATTTTTTTCATTAAGTTCAAACTTATACACAATACGTACAAATGTACCATAACTGTACGCTTTTACGGATGTTGTACAATATTATTGATCTACGTGTTGTAAGTTAAATAAAATCTGACCTCAACGTTGTACACGACGAACAGTTAGAGGAATGGGGTGAAACATTAGGATTAAAATTTGAACGTAGTATATTGTCATCAGAGTTTAGTGCGTTTGGCTCGGTTTTTAGTTGATTGTGGAAACACAAGGATCGGGTGGAATGTACGATTGCGGATTCATGACACGCACGTGTATTGTACAAATAAAACTAACAAAACGTAGTAATACGGTTCAAGTGAAGTAAAAACGACTGTTGAAATAGTGATAGTAATGGCCAAAGGATGATTAAAGTAAAACGGTTACGCATACGAATTATCAAAATTTCCGCGACGTACAATTCGGTCAAAACGTTTTCTGTTCAAAACATATTATACCTACTATGTGTAGTAGTAGATGGGCCCGGTTATAAGATACCGTATTCTCGAGCCGTTGGTGATCGATCGACGTCGCACTGTACTCGTCGAACCAGGGGCAGCCCTAGGAGGGCAGCCACATTCGCCCCCTCCGCATGGCCCTTTTTTTCTTCAAATTTTTTTTTTATCTTTTATTTAAATCGTACTGGAAAAGCACATGAATGTGAATGCATGTATGAAGTTTGCCTCTCCTCCCCATGTTAAAGGTTATTGGTTAATAAAAGGTAAAAAGGTTATTGGTTTTCATCCAACGGTAACAACAATAATAATTGATGATCCCATTCGACGAATGTTATTGCGTGATGACATAATGCAACCATAGGCGTGCGCACGGGGCGAGCCGGGCGAGGTCCGGCTTGACCGGAATTTTTTCGGGGTCATAGTAAAATTTAAACTAACCATAGTAAAATGTCTATATATATATTTTAATATTTTTGTGGAAATCAATGAATTGTATTCATATCATTTGATTTTAAAGAATTGAAAGTTTTACTTTTAACTTCAAAAATATAAAAATTAGCAATATAAAATACTTGATTCCATGTATGGATATAAATACTACATTGTTTTTAATTTACAACAAAATCTACTACGTCGCAGTGTTGGAAAAAAATTAGGGGTACTGCCTATGTATTGGGGGCACTAATCGTATTCAGACTCGACCGGAAGTTGAAGTCTGCGCACGCCTACGAATGCAACGTAACGTTAACCGAGCGAGACGGCGTTCAAGTCGAAACGATTGCGCCGGGGACTAGTTTTCGTCGACATTGTGGCTTTTCGCGCAACCGTTTTTACGCAACAACCAGCGCGGCGGCAGGAATAATAATAGTAATAATAGTCGGCAACCGACGAGACGATCGCGAACACGACGGTCACCAAGCGTTGAACTTGCGGTCGCCGACGGGACGAGATGCGTTTTGATTTTATTTATAACCGTCGGCGCGCCCGCACGCGTCACGTTCGTCGGACGTTTACATTTTTATTTTTACATGATATATTATTATATACGCGGGCGAGAGAGGGAATAAGAATTAAAAAAAAAAAAGAAAAAAACGGTAATTCTATACCAGGGGCCGGACGTGTCGTCGGGAGCCGGTGCGGCGGCGGCGGCGGACGGGCAGCGTTTCTATTTTTAGCGGAGCCGACCGCGATGCGACACGGCCGCCCGAGACGCCGTTCGACGTGCACAGCAGTGCGCTGGGAGACGCGTGCACGGCCGTCCGACATCCGTTTCTCCGCGCGTTACGACACTTGGGTGCGTGCGAAAAACGAGCGCGCGCGTGCGCCGTCGCGGAGGAGAGGTGAACCGACGAGCCGGTAACGGGCGCTCGAGTGTCCGCCGGCGGCCGCCCCCGCCCCAACCGGAGACCCGATATCGGCGGGCGAGGAGTGGACGGTGCAGATAGATAGAGAGAGAAAAACACCCCGCGAGCGAGAGACATGGCTCATCAACATGAGTGATCTCGCCGACACCATTGACGATCTCATCTGCAGTTTCGAAAGCGATGGTAAGACGATGGACACGTTAATAATGTATTTGTTCTGCTGGGCCCTGGTCGGTTTCGTCGCGCTGGCCGTCGGCAAGTTCGTGTACGGCCGGCTGGTCGGCTTCGCGGGCCGCAAGACGGGCACCGTCCACGCCGCCCCGGCCGCCAAGAACGCTGCGTTGGAACCGGACGCCGCGGCGGCCGCCGCCGCCACCGGGAAACAGCACCATCCGCGGGTCGTGCCGCCCACGCCACCAATCGCGCGCAAACGGTTGGGCTCCAAGTCGGGCCGCACCTCGGCCGCCGTGGCCGGCATCGCGGCCGGCCTGTCCGCCGTGCCGGCCGCCGCGGCCGCCAGCAAGGCGTTCTCGGTCGAGCAGCAGCAGCAGCATCACCACCACCATCGGCCGCCGCCCACGGCCACCGGCAACGACGCGGACGCCGTGCGCTGGACCAACGACGTGTTCAGGTGGCTGTACACCGCGGCCGGCGGCGAACCGTCCGTCGTCCAGTACCTGCTCGGCGAGTGGACGTCCGCGCTCAACGAGTACACCAAGAAATCGTTCGCCGAAGTGAGTGTGTTTACCCCCTCCCCCCACATTACCGAACTGATCCGATAAACGGTTTTTCCGGTTTGTGTGCTAATAATACGTTTCGTCGAAGCTAGTAGTATCCAGCATAAGACAGCATGCATAATTACATAATAGCGGGATAGTGTCGGGATCCTTAGGACTATGATTACCCTTTGAGCCAGCGATTCCGCGGAGCTTTTTTTAAGCACTGTTTTCTCTGGAGATCAAGTTGTATTTGCCCGTGTGTACAATAGGAAACTCAAAAACGGCTTAAATTTAATAATATACTTATGTACACCCGGCCGAGTAATAACTGGAATGGGAATGCTTATTGTATAAAATAATAATATTTATATTTTTTACCAGGATTTTAATATCGTTTGTACACGTGTATCGACTCGACGTTGTTTTAAATAACAATCTATATTATGTCTTATGGTGAAACGAACGGAACCATAAGGACTCTGCTGAACACAGTTTGGTTTAACAATTGTTATGTGTGTTCGGTGCTACTGGTTAGGTTATCGCCCGTCAGTGCACAAACTAACCGACTGAAATATATTGTACTCCAGCATGTTTCCGATCTCTGTAAACAATTATTTCATTACCAACTTTTTGTTTAAGAGTAATTTTATAACAAAGTTTATGTGATTTCTACGAAAAACGGCATTTCATATAGTTATGGAAAATAACTTTTGAATTTTCCATTTCTGTATAATCACAAAACGCCATTTTATGAAAAAAGTTTTTATGAATATTTTGTAGTATCGCAATTGGTAACGATTGGTTTAATAATTGCAGCTAGTTTTGAAAAAAAGGGATACCTATACAGCTGAATGAATTATTATTATAAAAATATTTTACTAAAAGATAATTTTAAAAGGGTTACAAACATTAACCAATAATCGATGTCTCCACGTTTCTCTATCAGTTTTTAATCGAATCATAAAATTTTTGGTAAAAATACGCGAAGTTCAATAAATATTCATCAAGTGTACTGTATCATGACCAATCAATGGTACACCGTGAGGAGTATTGGTACGTTTTGCACGAGCTGACCTGAGCATAGAATAGCATTTAAGATTGATGGATTTTCCAATTAGCGCCCGGGCGATAACGAACCGGTACTCGATACAAATAAATCCGAATTTGATTATGGCTCGGTTTCTTCCGTCATCGCACCCGAGTCGAACGTGATCCGATTATTTTAATAAATTCGCATATTCTTTCAGTGCAATTAAATCCGGTCCTCGATCATATTTATATTGTATACGTTCCGTGGCGTTTTCGTTTCTGCGACGATTGTCGCGACGAAGGTAATCTCTTCGAACGCGACGTTCGTTAGTCATCGTGGTCGACGTTGCAGTCCAATGGGTTCGCCATCGTTGATCTCCCGACGAAATTCGTCCACATTAACCCCGTCGGTTCTTTGCTTGTCTTTCGGTTGTCCCGAGTCCGGAGGGTGTATCCAAGCATATTATTCAGGCACACCTCTCTGCAGTGCATAACACGTATGCGTATACTTGTGATGACTATACGTGTACTGACGAACAGATCGAAGGACTACGTGTTACGTTAGTGCAGGGGCGTGGACGAAGATACTTTAGGGGTTTAAACATTGAAGATATGTGTATGTATTCATTGAAGTTATCGGGCTATTCCTGTACCCGTACGCACATATCTGTTTTTGTTACACTTGTATATTAGTGTTCACCAATAAAACGGTTAGAACTCGCACGGAAAACATTACGTATATTTTGATTTGTCGAAAGGAAAATAACATTTTTACAAACATGTACGATCATGCTGCCGAACGTTTGAAGTACGATGTTTGAAAATAATATATTATAAATTATATTGAATCATGAATATTTATGAGGAACGTTGCAAATATTTCATATACTTACATAAAATTCAAGTGGTTTTTTTTTTTTTTTTTTTTTTTTTACCGCAGTGAAAAGCGATATGAATAAGTCTAGAATATGATTTCCTAAACTATATACAGTATACTATATTATAATAACGCTTTGCAGCGAAAACATTTTTTTTTCCTTTTACTTTTTAGTGAATTTTTATCTTTCATGTTTAAATAACCTAATTTTTGATGATAATAGTAAAAAATAATAAAGTTCAGCATGCAAAATTATAATGTAATTTGCACTAAGAGTCGATCATCAACATCAAATACGGACAAAACCCTGTGATCCTGAACAAATCACTAAAATAAAACTTATGTTTTTCAGTTCTCATTCGGCAAAGCAAAAGAATAATTATTGTTATATTCACATGCGCTTGTAAATTAATTGAAAAACGTTAGTCCGCGCACAAAGAGTGCAATTATTGTAAAAGGTGGTGGAGAAAAAAAAAGCATAATTATAAGAATTGTAATGTGGTGATCCTTTTTATCATTATCGTTATCATACACCACCAAGTACAGTGGATAAATGGTATAGATCCTGGACTATAGATTAAAATAAAACTTTAGTGTAGTATTCTTTTGAATTTTTTTTTTTCATATGATAAAATTCTGTAGTTGATTATTCGATATACGTATCATGTTTGTTGGACTAAATAAAAATGATGATTGTTATTATTATTATTAGAATTTTCATTGCGTTTTTAACGGTCATTTATTTTCATTTTTACTATGCAACACCGCGTCTTGCTCTCGGCTCGGGATCATTCAGAAATCACCAACTGCTACGAGTTCATAATAATATATTATACTACTTCTTTGTCGATTTTGACTTATTATGCGACGATAATCTTGTGTTTATGTCTGAATAATAAATATACGTGTACACACATTTGACGACTCACAGCTGTGCTTTAATTGTGCACACATTTATTTAAGAATATACTGGCGTTTATGATGTCATTAATTAGAAATCGCTTATGTGTTATTGTTAGACCGGACAATAATCTGCTGTGCGTTTAGAACGAAATGTTTTTGTTTTTAAATGCTCGAATGACTACTAGGACTCCATCGAGTGGAGTCGTTCGTCTATTTGCATTTAACGCGGATGTGCAAACAAGTCGGTTTAATGTCTTCTTTACACGTCCCCCGCGTCGCGATACGCTGTTATTGGAAAATTTGGAATCAAAACAATAATTTTTCGGCTAATTACGATCGTTTAAAATCGAAATTTAAAACTTGAATACAAACATATTTTATACATTGTATAATAAAGATACACAGAGCTAGTATATAGTTATGTTATTTATTATCGTAATTTGTATTATATATACGAATATATTATAAACAGATATAAGCTCTAATTTTGGATTATATTGTTTTATTTAAATTTTAAAGTGAATATTGTACTTAAAATAAATATAATACGATGTTGTATAATCTATTGTAAGATTAAAGTACATTTTGTTATAAATATCAAAAATGTAAATATTTGTACTTATATAAATAATTTACGAAAGTAATGCTTGTTCAGTAGTCAGATGTTCAGATTAATGTTGATTATTTTTATCATTCCCGCTGTTATCGTTACTTTTTATTCCTAAATTATTTTTCTAGGCACTGTTGAACAATTTTCGAATTTTATTTGTGTATAATTACGTACAAAGTACAAATTACGATAGTAATTAATATAACTATGTAAAATAAAATGTATATATATATATATATATAGAGGTATATGTACCATTTTTCAAAAGCTAATCGATTTTATTAATAATATAACAATCATAATATTTACGAAGCTAAATATATAAAACCCAATTATTTTTCATGCTAACTATGAAAAAGACGTAATTTCCGATGTTTATACGAGTAGTATTTACCATTTGTATGGGTGAGCACCAGTGATGGATTATGTGCTTCGCGGGTCTGAAGCAAATATGTCAGACGATCCTAATTGGTTACGAAGAATAAAAAAAAAGATATAGACCAGTCTAATATCTCAAACGTGCTTTTAAATTACAAATTAAAAAAAATTTAATTTTTGAAAATTAATTTTGTAAATAATATTTAATACATAATCGTGTCAAATACCTTTTTAAATCACAGTAGAACCCCTGTCGTCCTCCCTCAACTGATCCACTCAAATGCAACTACAATTGATCCAACCATAGTATTATCGATATTAATACTTTAAAAATATACATAATATACATTTGGATTGTAAAATTTATAGTAGATATTTAAAATGAATTGTCAGTTAACTATTTCCCTTACCGCTTGTTCAAGAAGCTATAAGCTACTCTTTTTCTAAGTGATTTTTTTACTACATATATAAATATATATACATTTATATAATGTCTACATTCAAGTTTTTATCATTACATATGTAGATACAGTTTATATTTTCTGATAATCTGATTTTTTCCTGCAGTCGGATCATAACCCTGGTCCCAAAGTTGACGGATTAGAGGGCTTCTATTGTATAGGAAAATACCAAAAATATATATATATATATATATATTATAAAATTAGTCACTGTCATAGTTGCAACTGTTTACTTGTCTACTCGTATTCTCTCCATTTACGATAATTCTTTTTTTCTAGTTTTTTAATTTGAAAAAGTTCGACTAATTTTATCCAAGTTTAGAGATTTTACAAATTCAATCTTAATACTCCGAATTCCATAATCTTGTAGATTATTTTGTAAGATGATAAAACAATTTTTAGTAATTTTAATCGAGGAAAACACCTTTCATCAATACAGTTGGTACGTTTAAGAGAAAGATATAAACATAATCTTTTAATATTTTAAAAACTCTTAGTCTCATTTTAATCAACTATCATCTTATACATATTAATCAAAATATTCTTATTCTTACTATCGTTAGTAATAATTAATAATAAAAACGTTGATAAAAAACTTAAGAACCGTTTAAACTAATTTTTAAAATTGACTGGGAAATCTTTTGGATGCCTTTTTCACAAATTGTTCATTCCTCCTTGTATTTCTTCGATTTCTATATCCATTGAAATGTTTGACAATTACTTAAAATAAAAACGAGAACGGACAAACAAAAATAAC